TCAACTGCCATCTTTTAAATTCAGAGTGCAGGTTCTCCTCTTATAGATCTCTCATCATTTGTTATTCCTCTCAGTTTCTGGGGAAGGGATGCACCTTCTTGCTTTATTACACTGTGTTCTAGGACAGCAACCCCCAATCCTTTTGGGGAGAGCTTTTTCGGAGGATCAGAGGGGGCATGGCTTAATATCCTGCCTGCATCCCACGGATGGGGCTTCACTTGTTTGTGCGTGCAGGCCACTTGCTGGCATGTCGCGGCCCAGTACTAGTCCACGGACCAGGGATTGGGGATCCCTGTTCTAGGAGAAATAGCATAGTCAGTAGATGAAATCAGAGCCTTTTCTGATTTCACTGGTCATTGGGAATGCAGTCTCTGAGGAAGAAGTAGATGTATCTGGATGTAGATATGCACATCTACAGCTGGAAGGTATGTACAGCAGTTTTGGTAATTTCTACATGTGGTGGATGAAAATGTTCATGTAGGTGATGACCAGGCTGAGCCTGAGGGAGGGTCAAATAATCTTTCTCAAGTCCCTTTGCGCCCACAATAGATCTAACTCTAGCCTACCTTATATTCTGTTGACTCTTATCTACCATCAATTTGCTTTGACTTTTAATACTTCAGATTCTTGTAGAGGGTGTTGGCATGCAATAAACTGGGTGTTTCCAAGCCACCAGGTACTGAGTGCTCCTGTAGAATTTCCTAGAGTCAAGAATTTCCCGAACCTCAAAATGTTGTTAACCTTCTACCATAATAGAGGACGGAACAGAGGTAGTAGCTGGAAAAAGATCAGAGGTGACTTCAGGTTACAATGGAAAGCTACAATGAAGAATGGGGTGGAATGCTGTAATGACTTAGGGAGTTGTAATTCTACCATGATAGGGTTAATAATACAAAGTATGGGGAAAGGCCCAATATATTTAGGACCCAACTTTTTATACTGCTGCAAAGATTTTAAAAACTTGATAGAAAGGTAAACTTTGTCCCCAACTTTATAAGGTTCTCTTGGAGTAAAACAGCACCGACTGCCACATCATTGGCATCGGCCTGGATTACAAATGGTTTCTCTAAGTCTGGGTGTTTTAATACAGGTTCAGTTTTCTCAGTTTTTCAAATGCTGCTTGGCAGTCCATAGTCCAATTCAGTGGTTGGCTAGATTTTGGTTTATCTACTCCCTTTGTTTTTAAGAGATTTGTAATCGCCAATGCTATTTGGGCAAAAGAGGGGATAAACTGCCTATAAAAGTTAGTGAACCCTGGGAAGCTCTCCAATTGTTTGCAAATAAGGGGTGTTTCCAACTTGAGGACTGCTCTGACTTTTGTGGGGTCCATTTCCATCTCCTGGGGAGAGAGTCTGTACCCTGGGTAATTTATCTTATCTTGGTGAAAATCCCATTTGGAGAGTTTGGGAAACAACTTAGCTGCCCTTAATTTCTTCAAAACCTCCCGCACCAATTTAACATGTTGAGTCTTAGTTTCAGTATCAATCAATCTATCATCAAGATAAACCAAAACTCCCTTATACAAGTGCTCGTGCAGGAACTCATTAATTAGCTGCATGAAAACAGCGGCAGCCCCTTGGAGTCTGAATGGCAAAACCTTGAACTGAAAACATCCTAGCAGACAATTAAACACTGTTTTCCACTCATCCCCTTCTCAGATCCAGATCTGGTAATAAGCATCCCACAAGTCTAG